TATTTGATTTCTATCTGATCTATTATTTCTGTTAAATTTGTAACGTGTTAGCTATGTCTTTATTATTGAAATTGTTTTTTATTATAAATCTCTAGATAGCCACTAAACGAGATTTTTAATATAGTGATGATTTTCATTATTATTCACACCTCTGTAACGTCACCGATTTTTGTAAAACCGATTGGGTGACTATATGGAGGTCTGAATGTATTATGAAATTTTATTTAAATATTAAGTTTATAATAAAGTATTTAAATACCGATTTCTGAAATCTAAGGAAGGACTTTCTGATAACAACATAATAGTATCAAAAGTCCTAACCATAATATTAACTCAATAACAACGCTGATAAAGCTAAATTATTTTCTAATGATAGATCTCAACACGTTTTCCTGGTTGCCAATTTATAATCGCATCTCTTATATTATACCAATATTGTAGTTTCACAGTTAATTCTTTAGCTGTGGTAAAATCATTCGATTTAAAAGCTTGTGATAATTCTGTTATAATATTCTTTATTTTTTCTGCAATATTATATCAAAAAAGTTAGTATACTTGACAAATTAAGTTTGAAAATGGGTAAAAACTATTTATTTACCTTCACTTTCATTTTTAATTGTTTTAACATCATTTTCATTTGTAATATCTTCTAATTGCTCTCTAACATCCAAAATTTCCATTAATAATTCTGGATCTTGCAAGGACTCAGATTCACTTATTGATACATTATTTAATTGAAGCTATGATGAAATTCAAAGTGTGAATTTATGCGTATTTAAAATAAATAAAATAAGTATAAAGGAGAGTGTTTACAATACCATATATTTAGCTCTCAAAAGAGGATCTCGTAATACTTGATAAGCTTTATTAATTAAAGAAGATTGTTGTTGCGCATAATTATATTCTTTCTTAAAAAAAAAAATAAGTTGCCATAAAATAAATAAATAAGTAAAGGTAAGAATAAACCACTTTTATAAGGGAAAATGAACTTACTCGATCTTTTGTACCATAACTATCAGGATGTACAAGTTGTTGAAGTAACAAAAAATTTTTTCGTAATTGACCAGAATCAATATTATACGTTGGTAGAAAGCTATATATTTTTAGAAGAGTAAAAATTAATCGACACTTTTAAATAAATATAATCTTCTGGAAAAAAAAAAGAAACTTACCGTCCATCAAGTTTAATTCCGATTCCTAATGTTTCAAAATAAGTAACATCATTAGGAAGTACCTTTTGTATAACACCACAATCTTCTTTTTTACAATGAAGTGAAAAATAATCTATTTCTGAATCACATTTCCAACAATTTCGATGAATTTTTGGTATTTCATGATAATATTTCAACAACGAAAATTTATAAATATTATTTTGTTTTAATGAATTTCTTAATGAATTTCGTCCATCAAATAATAATGAATTAAATAAAATTTTAGAGATTATTCTTCTTTTAGAAATAAGAACGAAATTATTTCTAAAATTTTGAAATGCACAAGTTTTTAAAGTATTAGTAAGAGATTTAAACATTTGAAAAAAAAGGGAGAAATGAAAAATAATTTCTCAAAATCATAATAAATGCATTATGTATAAATAAAAAACGATCTAAAAACTGCGGGATGTCAATCTAAATTAATCGTTAATTATAGTAAGCATCAAAGAATTAAAGATTATGCATTAGTAATGATGAAGTCATCGATGATAAAATTTAAATGCTTGCTGAATAAAAGATTTTGTGATAATCTTTTGATTTTTTAAAAAAAAAAAATTATTAGTCACGTGCCTTAAGTGAAATCAAACAACAATGAAACAATGAAACTTGATTCCAAACTTGTGATAATTTCTTTTTTATTTTCCTTTTTTCAAACAAAAAAAAAATTCAAACGTTTGCGTATTCGCGCATTCTTTTCACGGATTGAGTAACAGTAACACAATTTTAAATTTTTTCAATAAAACAATCTTGCTATTATGCTTTACTGCTTATTTGTACTACCATAATAGTAACATCACATGAAGTAATCGAAGCATTTAAGAACATCCATTGTGATAGTTTCGAGAACGATAGTGATTTGTTTAAAATTCTTGATTCTTTTGGTACAAGTTATAGTTCAAAATCATTAGTTACTTTTAACGGACAAAATGTCAGAAGGAGAAAACCCAGCTGTTACGCGTTTTAGAGATTATTTACGTATTAAGACTGTTCAACCTAACCCTGACTATGAGTCTTGTACAAATTGGCTTTTAGACCAAGCAAAAGAAATAGGCTTGTCCTCGCAAGTGTTTGAGGTATATCACTTGATTGATAATAAATATGATTTATTTGATTTCAATCATATAATCAATACTTATTTCCTGTTTAGTACGTTAAAGGAAAGCCAATAGTCCTATTGACCTGGATTGGTCGTGACCCAGAATTACCCGCTATACTTTTGAATTCTCATACTGATGTAGTTCCAGTTTTTGAGGTTCTCAATTTTTTATCATTCTAATAAGTGTTTTTTTACTAAATGATGATTATTTTTTACTTATTATGCTTGTTCATTGGAAAATTTAGGAAAAATGGGCGCATGATCCATTTGAAGCTTTTAAAGGCGAAAATGGTGATATTTTTGCAAGAGGTGCACAAGATATGAAATGTGTTGGAGCAAGTTATCTTGAAGCTATTAGATGTCTTAAAGATCAAGATAAACAACCATGTCGAACGATTCACCTTTCTTATGTGCCTGGTAAAATATAAATATATATATATAATTATCTTTTTTGGTTTAATATATTGAATTACTTGAAATATAAATAATTAATATAATAATATATATTTAGATGAGGAAATTGGAGGTTGTGATGGAATGAAACTTTTTGTCAAATCAGATGATTTCAAAAAGTTAAATATTGGATTTGCATTAGATGAGGGAATTTCATGTTCTCATAATGCTTTAAAAGTATTTTATGGTGAAAGAGCTCCATGGTGGATTAACGTTACAACTAAAGGTAACACAGGACATGGTTCACAATTTATTCATAATACTGCTGTATCCAAATTGGTAAATAAAAATAAATTATTTCTTAAAAACAAAAAAAGCGAAAGAGATATAATTTATTTTATTTATTTATTTATTTATTTTTTTGATGTAATAGCATCGTATTATCAATAGATTTATGGAATTTCGTGAATCCCAAGAAAGACAATTAGAAATTGGAAGACATAAGGACGGAAGAAAGTATACACTTGGAGATGTAACAACTATCAACCTCACTAAACTGGAAGTAAGTTAAATAATATTTGTACCAAATCTCTTTTTATACACTAAACCTAATTATTTTTTTATTTACATTAGGCAGGTGTTCAGCATAATGTAATTCCACAAGAAGCAAAAGCGGGTTTTGATGTTCGCATATCACCAAATGTTGACTTAAAAGAATTTAAAGAATTATTAGAGAACTTTGTACATTCTGAGCCTGAGTAAGTAACGGGTTATATTTTTAATACATATGATTAATCATTAATCTAAGACATGTAAATAATAATTTATCTTTTCTATACAGCACTACATTGGAATATGCTCAATATCACGGTGATAACAGTTGTACTTCACTCGATGATGATAATGTTTGGTGGGTGACATTTCGTGATTTTTGTGATGTAAGGTTAGTAATAAAAAAATTTTTTTTTTTCGGGTTTGATATTAAATTTTCATACATTAAACATTAACAACGCTTATAAATTATATATAGAAACATTTCCATTGAACCAGAAATTTTCCCTGCTGCTACTGATTCACGTTATCTTCGTGAACGAGGTATTCCAGCTTTAGGCGTATCTTATATTAAAAATACTCCTATATTATTACATGATCATAATGAACGTATAAATGAAAATCTGTTCCTTGAAGGCATTGACTTCTATACCGATCTAATTACTCATTTGGCAAACATTCAAACTATTTAATTAAGGTTATTATATATATAATATATATATATTGGTGACCTTATTTTCAGAATTTGTAAAAGCTGTTATTTAATGATTTTTTTTTCTTTTTTTTTTTTTTAAAAAAAAAAAAAATTGTGATGGCAAATGAAAAAAAAATTTTAAGTTATATATGTGATGACAAATATTTAAAATATTAAATAAACTCATTTTTTTGATAACTTTTATCTTTTTTTTTTTTTTTGGTAAAATACATATATATAAATATAATGATAAAAAGAAAATAATATAAAGATTTAAAAGTTTGCTATTAAGGTTTTAGGTCAAATAAAATAATAAAAAGTAAGATCATTCAAAAGATTATAATGAAATTTTGCATTTAAAAAGTATACATTTATAAAAATTTTATATATCTATAGAAAGTTATCAAAGTTTTCAGATACTTAATAACAAATTGGTTATTTTTTTTATTGTTTTTATGATTAATTCTATAAATCATATTTCATAACAACTATTAATTCAAAGTTTTTATATAAGAGTAAATTTATTCATCACAAGAGGCAATACTTCATATATATCGCCTTTACAGTAGCGATCATAAGTATCTGACCGTCCGAGATCGTCCAAAATTATTATATAACTACCCCTTAAATTTTCCAGAAATATAATATA